TTTTTTTTTAAAAAAAGCAAGTCACCCGTCTTTCTGCCACACAGTGGCTGGTGGATTCAAACTGTGGACCTTTTGCTTACCAGACAAACACGTAACACGCCAACATATGTCACCCTGGACCTTTTACTGGAGTACGGTAGGCTCTAACTCAACCCCTTCTAAGTGGTGTCTTATAAAGGGGAATGGAGACGAAGAAATCGGGGGCAGGCGACACCACAAAGCAGAGCAGATGCAGCCAAGTCCAGTAACCAGGGACTGCGGGCACCGCTAGGGCCTTTCTCGGGTGAGACCAACAAAGCCCTGCCCCAGAGTGGACAGACAAGAGCCTGGCCCTGCTGACAACCCGAATTCAAACTTCTAGCCTCTTGAACTGGGAGACAAGGGGTAGTGAGCTGGATTAACGGAAATGAGGATCACAGGTAGGGAGTGGGTAGAGTGCTGTTACAGTGTGGGTCTTGTAACTGACATAGTGAATAAAACATGTATGAATGTTAGAGAGGAAAACCAATTTGCAAATGTTCCCTCAAATCACAACTTAACAAAAATACCAAACTGTGAGGCAATATACCCTTGCCCTTTAATGTTTCCTCATGAGAGCATCTATTTTATTTTTTCATTTAATTTTGTGTGTGTGTGTGTACCGCCAAATCGGATCTGACTGGTACAGGAGGAGATTGCCCCTTCTTCTCCAGCAGAGCATCTGGTGGATTTGAACCATGTACCTCTGGGATTGCAGTGCAGCTTCTTGACACTAGGCCACCAGAGCTCACCTACCCTTGTCCTTTAAAGCTCCCCTTGTGATATTTTTGTCTTGGCATTCCTAAGTAACTAAGAGAGGTGAGTCCCTGGATGGTACGAATGGTTAAGGTTCAGCTAACAGAAAGCTTCATGACTCAAGACCACCCAGCAGTACCTCGGAAAAAAAGCCTGGCAATGTGCTTCAGCCATTAAAACGCCAGAGGGAACAGTTCCGCAATGACATGCGTGTGGGGTCATCAGAAGTCGGGAAAGAACTGGTTCAGGGCAAGTGACGACAACAGTGGGGCCAGGAGAATCCTGTTTGCCCCCATCCCCATGTTATAGACGTGGACACGGAGGCACTGAGAGGGTCAGCAACTCAGTCACGATCACCTTGTCAGTGAGTGGCAGAGCCGGGATTTGAACCTAGGGATCAGTGTCAGCACTCCCAGACTCTTCAATGACCTGTCTCTAACAGCTGCACCAGAACGAGAATCTCTCCGGCTCTCCCACAGGCATCGTCTGCGGGGACTCTTTAGAAACTCAAATCTGGCCACCTCACTCTGGCGCAGAACCTCTGGTGGCGTCCCTCCACTCGGACAACAAACCAAAGAGCAAACCTTCCGCCCGCCGGCCAAGCCTGTTCCAACTGTCACAGAAGCCCTCCATCCACTTCCAGAGGCTAAGAGTATTTACAGGAAGAGATTGTCCACAGTTCACCAGAGGAGCAGTTGGTGGATTCGAACTGCTGACCTTCCTATTAGCAGCGCAAGACATACTGCACTCCATCACCCACTTCAGCCAGAGTCAGATCCTAACTCCAGGCAGCATGTAATGGGAGAAGGCGTAGGCCCGCCTGGGAGAGCCCGCGGGCTGGGCTAGAAAGGGATGATGCGAACACAACAAGTCACCGAGTGTCTGGTTCCCGGTGCGGAGACAAGCTATGTGGACACTAGACCAGTCTATGACATGTGCAGTGGACACTAGCGGTCTCTGTGATGTGTGAGAAGGACCGATGTGTGACAGGGAGACAGGAAGCACAAGGGGGCAAGCGAGAGCTGCCCCAAACCCTCATGTGTAAAATTTGCAATGTCTTTGCAGCTTGATAAAGGAGGGGTGTGAGCCCACACGTGGGGACTCTGTATTTCCAGGGCAGTTTGTTTGGTCAACTTAAAATGACTGTTAAAAAAAACCAAAAGCAACAACACAAAAATTATGCACACCCATGTTTACTACAGCTTTGTTCACAACGGCAAAGAGCTGGAAACCACCCAAGTGCCCATCAACAAACGAATGGATAGAGAAGCTGTGGTATATTCACACAATGAATTCACACTACACTGCATTGAAAAACAAGGAACTCAAGAAATATTATGCAAAACGGATGATCCTGGAGGACATTATACTGAGTGAAATATCTCAGTCACAAAAGGACAAATACTGCAGAGGGCCACTATTGTAAAACGGGACTGACATCGGGGTTGAGGGAGGATAGAGAAGGAGAGGAGGAATGACGTATACTGCATTGAAACAGATAGATGAGGGAGAGATCTGTTTAAAAGGGATATAGGAATGGGTATTCTTGGCCTGGAAGCAGGAGCGGCATCCACTTCCGAAATGGCTTGCCTCTGGAAACTCTGTGTACGAGCAGTGCTCAGGCCTTTCGTTCATGGGGTTGCTATGAGTCATCTACGACTCGACGGCATTAAACAACAACAACAACAATATTCTTGTCATGACAGGAGTCCAGAGTGAAGGCAGCACCGTGGAGTGGACTTGGGGGGAGGGACTGCGTAACACTGAAAGTTTTTCTTTTCAAGGAAAACAGTGAATTGGGGGGGAGGGAGAAAAGAGCAACAATGAATGACTGGAAACCCTAAGTCTCTGTAAACTTTCATTAAAATTAATAAAAAGCCCCGAACTTTGAAAAAATAAAATAAAATCCCAGCTCCTTCCCTGAGCCATGTGGCCTTCACGGATCTAACACACCACTCGCCCTCTCCAGACCTAGTTTCCCCCGCTACACAAAGACTCAACTCAAACTCATTGCCCTCAAGTCTGTTCCGACGCACAGCTGACCCTACACTGGACTGCCACGGCTGCAGATCACGCTGGGGGAGATTGCCCATCTTTCTCCCTCAGAGCCACTGCTGGATTCGAACCGCCAGGGACGTAAGGGCTCCCTGCTCTCAGTGGAGGCTGTGTCTTCTACCAATCACCTCTGAGACACACAACAAGCAGGAAGAGACACAAAGAAGCACAGACCAGGCAGGGCAGGGAGGAGAAGCCTCGTGATAGGGCCCTCCTGGGAGCAGAAGCTCAGAGAGACAAGGACCTCCCCTTCTCCCAGAGCCAGGGCGCCCTGAACTCAGAGAACTAAGACCCCATTCAAGGAACAATGACAGCTGGCGTGTGTGAGTAGGGCAGGTGTCCTGGGATGGGGAGATGAGAACTCAGTTGCCTGCAGGCCCTTTTCAGTCTCGGGAGCCCTGAAAGTCCCACCTGGCATGACTTACGACCTGCAGGACCCACAGAAACCTCCAATGAAACTAGAGGTCAGGTAGCGAGAGGGCGCATGGCTCCTGCTGGCTGTTCAGATTCATGAGAGGGAAGGGGGGTCCCCACAAGTCAGCTGTCATGTATTCATTATACCTCACATTCACAATACCCCTTTTTTACTACGTCCCAGGCTCTGTCCCATGCACCTTCGGTTATTAACTGGCTTAAGCCATGACCCTACAAGGTAAGTTCTATTTCACGCCCATTGTACAGATGAGAAGACTGAGGCACAAGGGGATGTATCCAGGGTCACACAGCAGAGCTGTGGGTAGAACCAGGGTCCCCAGCCAGGCAGCTGAAATCCAGGCCTTGCTCCCATGAGCACCCAGAATCCATCCACCAGTGAGGGTATTATTAAATTGGGAA